CCTCCTTGGGAGACTTCTCCGGCGAGGTTTGGGCCACGGAGCTGTGAGTCATGATTCATATTATGTATATATAATAACAATAATAATAGTAACAGGTATAATAATTTTATAATTAACTAATCATAATTATTTATAAGAAAGGCATGGGCTGAGCGATAGCTGCCCAGCGGAATCGGCTCCTCAGAAACGCAGGGACTCTCGCAAAGAAGCTTTCCTGCACAATCGCCTCCCGTCCTGAGGCAGGTGCATGGAGCGAGGTCCAGGACTTCAACTGGCTCAAGCGCCAGGAGGGGTCCTCACCGTTTCTTGCGTTCTCAGGAACTGTGAGTGGACCTATCGAATATCAGTGACTTTGAGGGCTGGCCGCAGTAGGCCGCTTCGGGCCTAATTAGGGTCTTCCCGTGGCTGCAGGCATCGCCCAACTGGCGACTGGTCCCTGCAGAGAGGCGGAGAAACCCGCTAAAGCTGCGGAAGGCTGAGGAGGCCAATAAGCCGGAGCTTCAAGTCAAGTGTGCTGTGAAGGTCTTTCTCGATCCAGTACCTCTCCACTAGTAGAACTCACGGACAGCAACCGGGAGGCTGCTGGGACCATAGGGGGCAGCAGGTGCTGGAACACTACAGCCAGCTGCCTCTACCGCCTGCTTTGCCGCCTGCCTGGAGTTTGTGAGCTCGGGCACTCTTGACAGATCAACCAGACGGCCCTTGGGCCGGAGGCGTCCCGTAGGGTGCAGAGGTCAGGGTTCAGTGAACTTGCAGGAGGCCCGAAGCCCCTGAGCTGAGCCCGAGTCCTTTTCCAGCTCAGGCCGGAGATGGCGACGCTTGGCCTGACTTGGAAGCTCTGATTGCATCGTGTTCTGTGGCAGGTATTATTGAGGCAACAAGGGTGCTGGATGGTAAAGAAAAACGCACTTCAAAATACTTCAAATGGTACAACGTAGACAACGAGACGGCAAATTGATAATAAAAGCATACGGGCAACAGCAACGGCAACAGTGGCCCTTAGCATCAGCAGGTTGTTGTTACTGCAAGAGCCGGTGATCACGAAAGCTTGGCCAGGACTCCGAACCTCGAGCCTTGAACCCTCCGGGCGTAGAAAACCTTACTTAAGACAAGTTAAGACAAGCTTTTTAACTTGTGGTACAGCGCCACCATGGTTCAAATCACAAAAAGCTCCAGACCCTAGACCCTGACCCCAAACCCAATGGCCTTAAGGCAGCAGGAGGCCTGCTGGCAAGACGATGCGGCAGCTGGCACCGGCCCCAGACTTCGAGGTGGCGGGGGTGTTGGCATCTAGGTGGGCCGTTGGGAAACGTGATATTTGCCCCCCCCCCCCCCCCCCCCCGCCCCCGTTGATATTGGGCTTGAGAGGATCTTGTCTACGAATATTTTTGCAGAGGCCGTGAAATATAACATCACATGTTTGAGCTTTACTTGGTAACATGTTATCCTGCATCTATACCGGGTCCCCAGACACTACACGAAAAAAGAGCACGGGGGAGTTGTGCATTGATCCGTGAGGCCCCTACATCGATTTTGCAGCTCTTCGGGAGTTGGAGCTTGGGCGGAGCTTGTTCTGAATCCCTCTGTCCAAGAGAGAGATGGAGTTTCCGAAAACAAGGTGGTACCTGATTTGGGGGTCCTTATAANNGTACTATATCTGGGCCCCCTATATTCAAAAAACCCCAGATGGGCCGCCAAGCCTCAGATATTGACACTCTGTACCATCATTGGGGGGGGGGGTCGAGCAGAGCTTCTCCGCAGCCGATAGTAGGATCAGACCTTACCGCTTCATGCTGGTCTCGGCAGCATGCTCTCCATCATGCCGCGCAAACGACCGATTCAAGTAAGCAGATACCCCAGAGGATGGATGAAGCCCTCATCTCAAAACTAAGAATCTGTGACTCCACCCGAAAAAAGCATCACCAGGTGCCGAAGATGATGAATTCTGAGCTGCTTGCCAATGAAGTAGCAGCGGAAAAGACCTGCTCTGCAGTGGACGGCAGCACTCAGCATTGCCTGCCCGGCGCTTCAGCATCTTGTGTGACAGGTCCCCTTTCGCAAATCTGCTTTTGGAACCATGCTGACATTTCGGCAGCTTCATCGACTCGGCTCTTACTTGCGTGTGACCGTGTCCTACAGTACATGGCAGGACAATGAAGAAGTAGGTTGTGGGGCATGACAAGAAGGCAGGTGTTGACAACGTCCAACGTGATCATTGAGTTGTAAACATCACAAATCTGCAAGGGGTACTTAGCAAAGCGACCGAAGTCTTCGAAACGAGACACTTTTTCCAAAGTCCTTTTGCGCATATGCCGGTTCAGTGACCAGTGCAAAAGAGAACTCGCAACATAACAACAAAAAGCCCTAGAGGAAAAACTCTATAGAACCCGTACACTACGCTTTGAGACTGGAGAGCCTTTGGGGGTTAGCGAGCCATGTCCGCAGCAGATGCAGCGGGCCTGAAAGCTGGCAAGGACTACCCAGGTCCCTGGCCCAGTCTGCTGCCCTTTGTTGATCTGCTTGTCGTAATCAGCTCTGTTTCATGGTCTGGTTTTGTCAAGAATTTCAGGGGTGCCATTCCTGGCACCCAGGACTGGCCCAAACATGAAGTCCCTGTTGGCGGGTTGTTCAGGTCTCCCACTCAAAGGTCCTGTCGATTTGGGGTTGGTGCTTGCGACAACCTGCATGCTGGGATGTCCAGGATTTCGCAAGATGTACAAGCCGTATCGGCGTTGCAAACCTGATGACATGTCTATGGCCCCAACGTGCCATTGGTGCCATTGTAACTGCTTTTGCTTTTTTGTCCCTAATCCGTACCAGGACGTGTCGATCACTGTAGTATGGCTACCTACCTTTGCTTAGATTATTTCGCATTCGTTCATTCTTCTTTTATTCCCTAGGCACTGTAGTTCACTAGATCTTGTTTGGCGTTGTGCCGGTGCTCTTTGCGAGGTGTGGGTGTCGGCGCCTTCGTGTTTGACGACCGTGGCAGAGAGACTTGTCTGAGCTGGCCTGACACGGCTTAAGAAGCCCATCCAGAAATGTTCGGTATTCCTTGAAGCAGGAGTGGCAGGCACGAAAAAGCATTTCGCTGTCATGAACAGGGGGGGGGGTTGTCAGTTAAGCAGACGGAGATAACAAGATACCCTTAAAGGACCCTAGAGAGTAGGGAGCCGGCGCCTAGCCTCACAACCACACCCCGTTCAATGTAACAACCAGACCGCGGAGCAAGAGATAATGGAACAGGCTGCCTTGTTCGTGCCCTCACCCCGGGCAAGAGATTGCAAAGAAGTCACATGCAGTTTAGGGATTTGGCTTTGGGGATTGTCGGGTTCCAGGGCTTATAGGCTTAAGTTAAAACGAGCTATAAGGGAGGCTGCACTTAACGAGTTCTCCCCCCCTCCTTCCCCTAGGTCCTGCTTGTGAAACGAAGTTCGACCTCAAGGGTGGCCCCTGGCACCTGGGCGAGGCAGGGCTCGGATGCTTTCCTTCGGTATCCCCGGGCCCTCTAATAATTTGAAATTCCTAGAGACTACATGAAAATAATAAGAGCAAGACTAAAGAATGATACAAATAACTACTCATATGAGACCAATATGGTGAACATATTCACGAGAATAATAATCACCTAAATATCTACGGAATCATAGGGTGATGACGTTCTCTACGCTCGGAGGCCGGGTGGCGCTGTCGAGCATGGGGAGTCCTGTGAAGCGGCCCTCATTCGCGAGCTTCGGCCCCTCGGGTGCCTTCTGTCAGGTTGCAAGGCTGGTCAGGTTGAATATTATACTATAATTATGGTAAGGAATATTTTGCATTATTTTGCGATAACTTTAACAAGGAATATTATACTATAATTTTAATAAGGAGCCCCCAAAATAGTATTGGTCATTCCTGAAGTTGGGTTGGGTTTATTCGGGGTGGGGCTCAGAGATGTCAGAGACGTGCTGCCCTTTGAGCGAAGTGCTCCTTAAGAAGCCGGAGGTGGGAAACGATGTCGGGAGTGACATCACGCTCGACTTCGATGTTTGCCATTTCGGGGGGCACATTTTGGATGGAAAAGCACTGAACCCTACAGTCCTAAATAGCGAAGCCTGGTGCAATTCAGGGAAGAAACGGGCCTGGACATTGTCGAACCGCTGCTGCTTGATGCGAAAGCCTGAGCATCTGTTCAGTGAATTCAGAGACAACATCAGGGTTTAGAGTTTACGGGTTTAGGGTTTAGGGGGGGTAAGATCTACAAAGCTGCCGCGACCATCATAGCATGCAGAATGGCGCAAGGAAACAGCATGTGTGGGCCTCTAGTGATTCAAGTGCTGATCACCAAGGTCAGCTCCCAGATCTCTTCGTCGAGCCACTGGGTCTCCATAGGCACTACGGATCTGAGAATGGGCCTCGTAGCTCTGCAAATCTGCACCAGAGAGGCAAGTGCTGGCATAGTGCAGCTGTCGTTCGATGAATGTTCCGTCCGTGGATACTGGGCAGGCTACATTGCGCAGCTGGCGCCCGGCTGCGCTGCCGAATCGGCCGTAAATCGCGAACCTGCCCGATACTTAGAGAAAGCGAGCATCGGATGCGGGGTTTGCACCTGATTCTACAGCCTGGTCTAGCCCGTTGCCTGGCCCTGATGGTTTGTTTCAATGCACCGAAGAGTTTGCTTCGGCTTCAAGTAGAACAGGCAAAACACGATGAGTTGGGGTTCTTCGACCTGGAGGACCGACCCTCGGTCTTGGTTTCTTCAGGTTTGCAAGATGGCAGCCCTAGGCAGACACGGCTGCAGGACCTGCCCACCCCTCTGGCCGACTTCACCGCTCCTGCGCTGGAGTCTTTGCGGGAAAAGCGCCGGCGTCCAGCGGATGCACCGTGAGAAAAAGCACAGAACAGAATCAACAGAACTAGACGATGCGTGTGTTTGAGACGGTGCATGGCGCGGTCTGCTGGGCGCGTGGCCCTTACAATCTACGACGGATTTTTCACCACACGTGCCTTTGCCGGAAGAGGCGGCAGCTGCCACGACTTTGGGGCCCCAGGTGCTGGACGAGCCCGGGCCTTGTCGGAGCAGATGGGAGAAGAGAATTGCCGGTGCTGGTACTGCCGAAGTGAAGTTCAAGTACCACTAAAGGCTTCTTGCTACAAAAAGGTAACTTGAACCCTGGCCGCAAAAGCCCTGAGCCCAAAAACCTTCAACAGCCCTTATTGAATATTCCTTTCTCTCTGGGGCGCAGAGCTGATGCTCCATGGTCATCGCAGTCTGACGCCGTTTAGGTCCAAGCCTGAGCATAAAGAAGCCTGTTCACCAGAAAGAAGCTCAGAAGGCATAGTACCATAAATGCTCTTGTTCTTGCTCAGTTCATGTTATTGTACTTCTTCGCGGCTATCGTTAGTGCTTTTGGCAGTTTTACTGCCTAAATGTTAAAGCGTGCTGCCGTCATTTACTAGCAACCCCCGGCTAACTACTGATCAGGTCTTGCCTGCCACGACTTTCGAATTAAATCCACCACCAGAACCACAGCTACCACCCTGATGACTACTGCTGCTCTTACGACGACGACGACGACGACTGCTCCTACCACTGCTGCTGCTTTTCCTCCACTCCTGTTCCCACTCCTACTACTACTGTTACTACTACCCTACTATACCATAGCTACCACTGCGACGACGACTCCTGCTACTACTTTATTGTGACGGGAATTTAGAACAATTAGTCTGCGGCACCCTTTTGGCAATCTTGGTAATCTTGGCAATCTTGGTCAGTCTTCTTCAAAAGCAAGATTGCCAGCAATCTGGGTCGTCTTGCAACATTGGTCAGTGTGCCCCACTTGCCCTGCTTGCTTGTCGACTAGTTTACCTTTTAGAGCAAGATTGACCAAGCTTGCTGAAAATCTTGCTCCCCCAAGTGGGGCAAGATTGCAAGACTGCTTGGCAAACTTGTTCAACTAATTGTTCTAAATTCCCGGCACACTGTACTACTACGACTCATTACCTACCTGCTACCGACAACCCACTACCGACTACGATCCATGTACTACTTACCATGAACTATGTCACTTAGCATTAACTTCTGCTTACTATCTACTACTTACTGCTCACTCCTGACTACTTACTACCTACCAAACGCGAGTACTTACTGACAAGTTGCTGCGTACTATCTACTACGTTGCGACGTGCGACTTACATCGTCCTGCATACTACGAGACACTACTTGCTACTTACTTCCTGCTACTGCCTAGTCGCGGCTCTCAGTATTGTTGATGACATGATTCTTAGGATCCGCATTTCGAGTGGCATTCCGAGTAGTGCTGTTATCATGCTGACAGCTGCTTGTTGCTATTGCCAGGAATCTAGAAGGCTGTTGCTCCCCCTTCTGGCATGATTGTCACCGTCTAGTCAGTAAAGCTTCGTCACCCCTAAACCCTAAACCCTAAACCCTAAACCCTAAAACCCTATTGGCCGAAAGGCCTTCACCGGCGATCCTTCGAATTGCGGGAGCGTTGGCCTGATGCTCGGGATGCTTTTTCTTCACCAGTCGCTAGCGTTGTTTCCGGAACACTACAGATGGTCACCGCATTTCGTGTGATGTTTCGCTTACGATACGTTCTCTGCTTGTGTGTTGTGTTTTACTTATTGTTGTTGCTGATGCTATTGCTCTGGTCGTCGCTATTGTTGTTGATGCCGGGACCAGGTGAGCTTGTGATTGAGAGGATGATCACGATGTTTGGTTGCCGCAATTTCTCGTGGCGACGAATGTTCGTTGCACTTAAAGGTAGAGTGGGCATCATGATAGCTGCACGGGTTCAGCAATATTTGGTTGAGGTGCTGCTTTGGCACTCGCGACCGGACCTGGACTTCGTGGTGAAGCTGGAGGCCATACTGCGGTACAACGTAAGGTGGTTGGCGTCAGAATGAGCCCATCATGGTCTTACCATGTTCTAGATCTCTGGGCATAGCCTTCCGTTAATTATTCAGTCCAGCCAGTAAGGAATCATGATTTTATATATTCGCAAATGTTTTACCAGCGATATCGACTTCTTTCAAATCAGTGTCAATCGAAAGAGCAGGCAGCTCGGACAAAAATCAGCAAGCCAATATTTTGTTGGACAATTCGCACTCATGCCACCGGTGCAGTTGTCATTTCTTGCACGAGCTTCGTCCTCGAAAGCAGCATCATCACCATGGCCAGTGGCAATAAACTCGGCATACCGTGCACTCTCATCCTTAGCTTCATACCCGGTTCATACCCCGGCTTTTCAGTCAAGGTCAATACCAAGCGTAGCATCACAAACAACTGGACTCGTTGATCATACACAGATTCGTGTCGCACCGGTGCATTACGATCAACAGGATACGACCTTATGCATATATACCAGCACCATTCAGGCCCAAGTCCACCGCTGAAGCAACATCGAAATCGACATGAGGACAGTTGTCCCAGTCATCATGGTACATGTGGTTCTGAAGACCCCTCAACTGCGAAGCCTACATTCCTCAGCATGTCGTATTGCGCAGGATTCAGTCACGATTCCTCTCCTTCCATTTTTCGACAAGGCCGTGGTCTGCGCTCAAAGACACCCACAGGAAAATGCGAGCTTCGGACAAATCGAACAAAGTCTCAGTGTTTGGTGCGAATTCGTACTACTTTGGTGTCATTGGCAGACGCTTCTGGTTATGGAATAGTAGGTTCTTCCACCTTCGCCCAGTGCTTCAGATTTTGACATGAATAGACCGGCGCCATCAGCCTTTTCGAGATTCCCTGCTATTCCCACCGGGGTGAATAGCACCAGCGCCTGTTGGCAGCTGCTAGCCAGTATGATTTGCTTGGAACTGCTTCAATACAACCGACCAGACGGAGAGAGAGAGAGAGAGAGAGAGACATTTTGGCTCAAGTCGTCTGCCGTG